TGTTCCAAACCCTTGCGCTCCTATTCCATCTCGTACTTAAGAGCCAGCCATGATTGTCTTGTTTTGGTTTCTCATTTAGCCTTTCCAATACAAGTGACCCTGTGTCTCTCCAGCTTAGATTCAAGGGAGATGTGAGTGGAATTTCTGGGAAACATTTTGCTTTCTATAAATGGGGAAGACAGGGCTGGAACTTCCATTGTCTTCAGTTGCTGAAGTGAGTGGACACCCACGGGAGCAGAAGATGGTGTACTGAGGATGGAGATGCTGAAAAGAAAGAGCACCAGCCCCTGATGGTATCATGGAGTAGGTGGACAAATGCCTGAACTCTGACTTGTTATGTCCCAAAGTTGGCTACTTACTGCTTATAGTTGGGTTTTCTATTACTTGCAGCTTACTGCATTCTTAACTAAAATATATACAATCTACCCTCAACTCTGCCTTGAAGGCAGGAGAGTTAGTGACTGCTTATGACTACAAATGTGTCAAATTCCTGTGTAACACCTGAGATCACAGCAGGGATCATAAATGTTTGTTTAATGGGTCCATTTTTTTATTTCCCACAGATGGACCCATATTAGGAATTTATATAATTCTAGTTAAATTGATTGACACTTAAATGATGAGTCTCTGCTTAAGAAGGTGTTCACTAAAAAGCCCAAGAATCCTAGGGAATATGTACTCTGGAGTGTTTGGAATTTTAGGAATTAAGAATTCTCATGTTAAAGAATACTTCTTTTTCTGTGAAATTCTATGATTAAAAAAGTGCAAACATTGCAAAAGAATAGGTAGAGTCTCTTGCAGACCACATTTGATCAGGAAGAAGTAAAATAAAATTCAGATCAAATATTTCCAATTCCTTAGAAACCTGGTTACAAACATTCTCTTTATTTAAAAATGATGGAGCACTGGCTTCCACAAGTGGGACTGCTCTTGTTCATGTGGCAATAGACATCAACCTTCCGATCGATGGCCTGATGGTATAATTGCTCACTGTGAGAATGCTCTGGGTTCCATCTGGACACAGTTAAATAATGCAACTGGCAAGTAGTTCTGAAGTTTCACTCACAAAGGGCCTGCCCAAATGTATTAATTTCACAGTTGTCATTCTGTGACAGAAAGTCACAAAGAAGGTACAATTAGATTCAAGACCAAATGAAAAGGCTCCCTGACAGTCTTTTTCTTGATAACTATATTAAAAAAATTAGGTTCTACAAATAATAATCTTTTATCCTGAAGACCTTGGAAACACTTGACATGTGATTTACATAAATAATCATGAGTCTTAGCTCCAGTTGCATTATGTAATATGCAAAGTTCTCTGCTAAGAACTTTAGGGGTCTACCTTAGTGGCATGTACCTGGTCACCAGGTAGCACATATGCCTTAAATGAAGCTGACTTCTCCAGCTTAGTTGGTCATGTGTACCCTTGTTTGCAGATCTGAATACTCACTGAGGCCTGGGAATGACTCACAGGTGAATTAAAATTTTCTTCTCCAATGCTGGATTCTCAAAGGACAGGGGGGAGAGACTTGTTTATTGGTCAGTGAATTGACAGAGGCTAATGTGGTGAGGGTGTTTGGGGGCATAAGATAAGTTTGGTTCTTGCTCAAAAGTGGCCACTCAATAGTTCTATGTCTAGTATTCCTTTTTAAAGAAGGCGAGTAGAATGCATTTTATAAAGCTCAACCATTATAATTTAGCCTGCCATTCATGGGAGTTGCATAAGGTAATTGAGGCTTCCAACCAGACAGACAGCAATTAGACTGCTCTGGTATTTGTTAAATTAGCTTTACTGGGTACCCACAGTTTTGCTTTTACCCTGTGAAATCTGTATTCAGAGGCCAAGTTCCTTTGTAGTGTTGTTATGTTACTTATCCTTGGAGCTCTGGCTTAATTTCCAATTTACAAGAGTAAAGTGGATCCAAGGCCCATTTAGAAAATATGACTCAGTATAGTAGTTAAACCAAAACACAGTTTAAACAATCTTTACACCTATGTGTGTTGGAAATTTTCTCAGGTAATCAAGCAAAGAAATAAGAAATTCTTGTAATTAAGCAACTTCTAAGATGGTTATACTCAAACTTTAGCCTTCTTTGGAATCACCTGGAGGGCCTATTAAAATCACATAGCTGGACCCCACTCACAGACTCAGTGAATCTCAAGAATTTGCATTTCTAATATTTCCCAGGTAATGTTGATGATGTGGGCCTGGAAACACACTTTGAGAATCAGAGCTCCAAGGGAAGAGAAAAAAAAAATCTTTACATCTCTCTCTTTTTTTTCTAATTTCTAGATCATAATAAAACTCTTTCAGGTATCTTAGGGGCTGAATTATTTCTTTGCAAATTTATATGTTGAAATCCTAATGTGGAGTATTTCAGAATGGGACTTTGGAGATGGGGTCTCTGAAGAGGTAATTAATTTAAAATGATGTCATTAGGGGGGGCTCATCCAATCAGTTTAAGGCCTCGAGAAAATAAGACAACCCTAAACCCACAGGAGGAGAAAATTCTGCAGCAGATAGACTTGGGATGAACATCAACTCTTCCCTGGGTCTCCAATCTACTCATTTACTCTGCAAGTTTTGGACTTGCCAACCTCAGTAACTGAGTGCACAAGTTCCTTAAGGTAAATTTCCCTCCAACTGCCTGTCCCCACTCTCTCTCAATTGCTTATGTTTTTCTTGGGAGCCCTAATACAAATTTTTATTCTCAATCAAGTTCTCATTGAAGCATGAGTTTTCTTATGAATATTTTCAAGAAAATAAAAGCATTGGGAGAATCATCCCAATAAGGTGGGTTTTCTCACACACATCTGCCATTTAGTGATTATCATCTATTCAGGTGCTCTGGTTATTCATGGCATGTGCCACTGCTGTTTCCTCATGAACAGTCCCCAACTGTCTCTTCATCATGGGGACCATGCTTTTTTTTTAATATTGTTTTTAGTTGTCAGTGGATCTTTTCTTTTCTTTTTTTATTTTTTGTATGTGGTACTGAGGATTGAACCCAGGGCTTTAAACATGCCAGGCAAGTGCTCTACCACTGAGCTATAACCCCAGCCTGGGGACAAGGCTTTGAATTCTGTGTTTGTGTGTGTGTGTGTGTGTTTTAATGGTTGGTTTGTGCTCAACAATAGGACGAAATTAACTCTGTCTTTCAAGCATCTATGGAAGTATTAATGTAGACTAAGGTTTAACCAGACCCTTAATATGCTGGAAAGTCATGTGGAATTTCCTTGGGGTATTTTGATTACTGAATATTTTACAAATATGCAGTATGGATGGAGATGGTGTCTTGTTATCTTCATTTTGATTTTCCCTAACGCTGTCTCACACACCAAGGATTTAATGAGCTTTCACAGAGATCTAGACATCAAAACAGCTCTTGGGGAGTCATGAGCTTTACTGAGCTTTCTCTCTTCATCTTTTGTTGCAGGCTCCCCCCAACCCCCGCCCCGCCTCCAGCATTGATGCGATTGATCTTAGGGGGCTCCTGAGATTTGCAGCATTGAGGAAAACACCTATGAGAATCTGTTTCTTAGGCTGCCCATCCAAGAGGGTGTTTCTCAGGCTGCCTTGTGTTTAGTTAGATTGAAGGACAGAAATCAGAGCCTTCAGAATTGATCAATCCTAGATAACTACTATGAAAAAGATTTCATCAAACTTGAAACCCAGATTAATTTCCCCCAAAGTTTGAAACCTTGCATTTCTGCTCAGACTGGAAAATGGAGCATGTTTACAGGGCAGCACCTACTGGCCAAGTGGGATATGACATATCTATAAAGTGGCTGCATTCTGGCATGAGGGGAGTCTGTTCCTGAGGGGTTTGCATTGTAGGTCAATGGAACTTAGGAGAAATTGCTATCGTCTGAGTAAGTGGTGGAATGTAGATCGACTCAAGCTGGAGCATCAACTCCAGTGTCAGAAGGTTCCTGAAGGGCTCCGCTGTTGAGAAAGTGTTGCAATAAGCATTTGACTACCAGTGCTGAGGCACCTGTGACCAGTAAGCCCCAGGGAAAGGCTGCCTAGTAAACCACTTCCTCCGGAAGAAGCTTGAGTTTATTATGATTACTTTTAATAGCTTTCTTTCATGTGGTAATCTCTTATTGGTAAATTAAAGAAGTTGAAAAGTAAAATTCCGTTTACAGAAATCTACTGGCCAAGAAAAGCACTCAGAAAAGACATTTATCCCAATAGTAGCAAGAGGCAAACCCAGATTTTGTCACAGGCTATATCATCCAGGGGCACACATTCCTAACTTAATGAATGTTAGGTGAAAGCATTGTGGGGCTATTAGGGCACATTCTCATTCCTTGGTTTATGTGAATGTGATTGACTTGCTTCTGGTTAATATCATTATTCAACGTTTTTAGAACTTTTTATTTTTCAAAGCATTTTTTCATATACTATAACAATAATGAAAGGTAGATTAGCCAGGTAGCATTGTATCCATCTTACATATGGGGTCACAGACAGGAGAAATTGAGGTTTCTTCAAGGTCACATTATTTGATAGAGTCAGCACCTGGATGACCTGTTCCTAACTTCAGGAGAATCATCTTTTGGTACCTGTGGGAGATTGTCCCAAGACCTCACAGATAATCTAAAGATGCTCAAATCCCTTATATAAAATGATGTAATATTTTCACATAACCTATACACTTCTTTCTGTATACTTCAAGTCATCTCTACACTACTGATAATGCCAAATACAATGTAAATGTTATGTAAATAATTATTACAGAAATAATGAGAAGGAAAAACTTTTGAGTATCCTCAGCACAGATGTAATCCCCCTCTGCCCCCGGCCCAAGTTTTTGACCCACAGTTGGTTGAATCTGGAGATGTGGAACTTGTGGACACAGAAGGCTAACTATATAGGGTCTGTAGAATTATTTGAATCTGTAGATTATTGTGATTTTGAATCTGTAGATTATTGTGATTTTTTTTAAAGGAGTGAATGATAATAAGATACTTATTCTACTTTTTGTTTTCTCGAGTTCATGCATGAACCTCATGTAGACCAAAGCATGAAGCAACATGTAGAGACCAGAAGTTCTAGGAGGATGGAAAGGAAACTCCCCTTTTGCAGGTGATAGGAGAAGAGACCTCCGATGTGCTGGGCATTATGCTTGAGTCTATTCACACCTCATCTCATCTAACCACCCAATAACCCCATGAAAGGTAGGTGTTATAGGTCTTTGTACCTATTTCTTTCTGTGATATGATATTATGTCTGTAAGTATAAAGGATAAGTAGGTATAGAGGAGGGAGAGAATATGGAGGGACATTTGCATTTTATGGAGAGAGCATGACTCATGTATTCTTGGAGGAAAAATAGAGAGCCAAGAGGAGCAGGAAAAAGGGAGGGGGTAGCTATGTTCTAGTCATCTTGGCTTTAGAGACAAAAGTCAGATAAACTCTACAGATTTGCTGTAGTCAGTCTGGTGTGTCCAGCAGTGCTACTCATGAGCTTGATAAAAGGTCTATAAAGCCTGTAATCCCAGTGATACCGGAGGCTGAAGCAAGAGGATTTAAGTTCAAGGTCAGCCTCAGCATCTTAGCGATTACCTAAGCAACTTAGTGAGAACTTGTCTTAAAATTAAAAAATAAAAAATAAATGGCTGGGGATGTGGCCTGTGGGTTCAATAAACAGTACACTCCCACCCTCCAAAAAGGCTTCTTCTTCTTTTTTTTTTTTTTTGGTGGTGCTGGGGATTGAACTCAGGGCCTTGTACATGCAAGGCAAGCACTCTACCAACAGAGCTATATCCCCAGCCATAAAGGCTTCTTTTAAGTGACATTATTCTTGTGAAAATTACTGATTAGTTAAAAAAAATTTAGTTCTCAACTAATAAGTGCAAAGTATCCTTTGTTCCAGTGGTTCTCAAAATGTGGCACTATATCCGCCACATTGGCCTCCCACGGGGACTTGTTTAGACTTGCACATTTCTGGGTACTACCCCAGACCTCAGGGACTAGGACCATAAATTTGCATTTTAGTGAGACCACCAGATGTTCTGAAGCTACACTAAGTTTGAGAGCCTCTTCTTTACTCTGTGATATCTTCCTAACTTATATATGGAAAGGCAACTTTAAAAACAAATCCCTTAGCAATTATCAAATGTACATGAAAAGACTTGTCTGTCCTCTTTCTTGATTTGCTATGGAATATGAATAAATGTAACAGTATAGACTGTTCTTGGTACAAACAAACCAATGAAGGTTTTATTTTTTTTTCCTTTTGGCAATATAGTTGGATACTTTAACTTATAAAGAAAATATTATGTCTAAATAATAAGAATATTACATCTGAAATTTTACTTTCTCTTTTATCATAATATTACTTTCTTTGAGAGTATCTACTGAAGACAAGGATTGAAATTTTAAAAGAAATTCAAAATACCACAATTTCTCACAATGTCATGTCATCATCTGCATTTAAGAATAACAATATCAAAAACCCTCTTAAAACTTCAAAAGATCAAAGAAAAAGATAACTATTTTCTCTTCTCTACCCTCCCCTACTCCAATCCTCCAAGACACAGAAATGGCAAAACTTCAAAGGAGACCAAGTGCAATACTGGACCATGTATTAATGTCATCGCTGACTAATTAAATAGGCAGAAACACAGAGAAGGCAGTCAAGATTACACGATTTGCTCAAACCTACAGTACTGGTTATTTGTATGATCATGTTGAGCTGGACAGTGATTTGGAATAGAGGACTGGAGAGAATTGGCTACAAGGACTATGATAAAAATATTGTAAAGGATTTGCTGTTGAACAGACAAATTGTTTTTTGGTCCCCAATATCAATTCTCTCCTCTCTCCTACTCAAATTGCACTGTTTGTAAAACATGTCCACTCTCTATATGAGAACTTTTCTATTTAAAATAGAAATTTAGATGAGTTCTCCCTGAAACATCCCTATCCAAAAATTACGTTCGTAAATGTTTTAATACATGTTTATTACTAAAAAAATTATGTGTTAATTTATATAAGATAACATTAATCATATTGAAAATCTATTAAATATATATATATTTTTTTGTGGGGCGGTAAGGATATTGAACTCAGGGGCACTTCATCACTGAGCCACATCCTCAGCCCTCTTTTGTATTTTATTTAGAGACAAGGTCTCACTGAGTTGCTTAGCACCTTGCTTTTGCGGAGGCTGGCTTTGAATTCGCAGTCCTCCTGCCTCAGCTTCCTGAGCCGCTGGGATTACAAGCATGCACCACCACGCACGGCTAAATGTATGTTTTATCCAACAGCTCTTTACTGTTTTCCCATTGCATATTTTATACCACAATAGGCATAAAGATTCCTTGTCACATTAATATCCAGTCCCTGTCATCAGGAAAATTAATATCAAGTTGGCTGACAATACAAAGTCAAGATAAGTTAAGAATTGAACAGCATAATTCAAAAGTTAAACACTATTTGTTTAAAAGCTCAATTAATTATTAAACACAATATAGCATCTGGTAGAAACCTGGAACAAAGTTCTTAGTATTCTGTCTACCTAAAAGATTAAATTCACTCAATGATATTTGAACAAGTGTTCCTACTATTTCAGAGGACCTCAGACTATCACAGCAAGGCCCTTCCTACCCCACTTTCTTCTCATTTTGTGTATCAACCCAACCTTGCATACTGATGACCCTTTCTGAAATGTAGTAGTAACAAATTTTATATAATTGGTAGAAATATAAAAAAATATTTTGTACTTAAAAATTAATTCAATGAGAAGGTTAACTTTTAGCTTTAAGCACTAATTCAGAATCTAATGTTTGTAGCATGAACATAACTTCATTCATAAGACTGAAATATTCACCAGAATTTTCTGTGGAAAAATGAAATCTTTAGGGATTTTAATTATACATAGTAATAAAGAATTTACAGTTGACAATGGACAACTTAAACTTTTCTTAAACCTTGGATTAGAATATCACATATATTTAGAAAAATATACTGGGACAGGGAATAGTGGTGCATGCCTGTAATCCCAGTGATTAGGAGGCTGAGGCAGGAGGATTACAAGTTGTAGGCCAGGCTTAGCAACTTAGCAAGGCCCTAAAGAATTTAGCAAGACCCTGTGTCAAAATAAAAAATAAAAAGGGCTGTTGATGTAGCTTAGTGGTAAAGTGCCTCTGGGTTCAATCCCCAATACCCTCCCCCAAATATGTGGAAGATATCTTTTTACATGAATCATGTCTCCTCTACCTCTACCTTTAAGACTTGAGGTATAGGGGTTTTGACCCCGCAAAATGATAAAAAGATGGCATGACTTGTATTATTTAGAGAATCAATTAGGATTTTCCCAGTACCATGCCACCATTATCATGCTGCGGTAGGGATCCTGACTCTTAATTTTGACCTCCTTGCCTGGATCATCTGTCCCACAGCAACTAGAGGAGCATTGCACAGTGCAGGCACATCCTGTCATCCTTTCATTTATAAACCTCTGATGGCCAGCTCCCCCATGTACTGGGACTGTAAGCAGCTTTCCCACGGATCCTTCCCACCTCTGGGACCTCATTCCTTCTGCTTTCTTAGTGGTGTCTTTGTTCTGGCCACTTGGCCTTCTGGGTTTTCTCAAACATACAACATTTCTTCCCATCTCTGGACATCCGCACTAACTTTTCCTGTTGTTTAAAAAATTTTTTGGGTTGGGATGTAGCTTAATGGAAAGCATCTGCCTTGCATTTGCAAAGCCCTGGGATCGACCCCCAGTTCCAAAAAGACCAAAAAAAAAAAAAGATTATAAAAAAAAAATTCTTCTTCCAGGTTTTGAAATGTTATCCTTTTGAAGAAACCTCTCTGTTCATCAGAGCTAAGTCCACACCCTGCACTCACCCTGTTAACTCTGCTTATCTTCTTCATAGCACCCCCAGCATCCAAAATCATTTTTTCATGCTTATTATCTCCCTTTATGGGAATATAAATTCCCTAAAGGATACTATCACATAAACCTCCCTATTCTCAGAGTTGATAGTGCTTGGCACTAAATAAATGCTCAATAAATATTTGTTATATACTATCTGAAAATATCCATCAACTAACCATACAAAGTATCTGAGTCAGAATTTTCTCCACTTAACTTATGATATGTCCCCTTTGTCTGGACATACATCTTGTAAAACTTCCATTCTTTGAATAACAAAGTCTATTCATTTACCTTCAATCAGAAAAGAATAAGATGATTTCATTTAACACAATTTTGTACTGGATTAGCATCACTTGGGGAAACTGCAAAAAAAAAAAATTGTTGCTTCCTGTGGACTTCAACCAACTTGGATGGAGCTCTGGTATCTGAATAAAAACCACCCAAGGTGATTTGATGTACTAAGAATATTGAAAAACACTAGACTAACATTTAAATTAATATGCAAACATTTCATATTTAAATTAATATTTACTTTCAATATGCTGTAGGATTATCAAACATATTCTCTTAAATTTGTATTCAGGTGAAATAGAAAGTCTCAATTTAGGGCAGAAATCACATCAAGCAGTCTTCCTGCTTTGAGGGTGGTGACCTCCAAAGTGGTCAACATACTACATATTTCACTAGGTAGTAAAATATTACAGCATTCAGTTTGTAAATGGTTGCAGATAACTTCATGTCTAATTATCAGGCAACTAAAATGATTTTTTATGTATAGTAACATTTAAGATATAGAATATTACTGGATATTTTGAAACCACAATATGATAATGAAAATAGTTGGGCTGGGATACTGGGTGACAGAGCACTTGGTCTAATGCTGCCCCATGAATTTAAGTGTCTTTAAATTTATTAAAGATTGATTTAGAAAATTGTGAATTTTGGGTAATGCTTTACTAAATGTGCTATCACAATTTAAATTTAATGTTATTTTTGATAAATATATCAGTTTAAATTAATCTTTCTCTTTGATGTGATCTCTGAATTCTTATTACTCTTTCATTATACTCTTTGAGTAAGGTATATACTACACATAGGATCAAGTAGACTCACATCAAAGTCTGTAGTAAGTGCTGAGTTGTTTATTTCATTCATCTATAAATAAGAGACATGTTTGAATTGCAAACATGGTTGGTTCATGTCTCTTCCATAAAGTCTTCTTTCTTCCTCTTTTTCTTTCTTCTTTTCTCCCTCTCATTTATTTCACAAATATGTTTAATGCCTGATATGT